GAACCCCTTAGAGTAGACCAGGCGATGGCAATAGTATGGGGTCTCCTGCCTATAGCCGGGCCCGTCCAGAAGGTTCTCCACCTCTTATGGACTTATTGAAAATATTTCGCGAGAGCGGAGTTCCATTAGTTCTGTCTCCTAGAATCAATGTTTCGAGAAAACATTTTCTACTGTTCAGAATGAAACCCTTGGTTTTCAAGAGAGAGGTTCATGTTCAATTTGTTTAGGCATCGGAATCTCGCAAGTACTGTTCACGTTGCTTGTGTTGGCAACGATGACGCGATTTCTGGGCTGGTTGTTTTTATTCGTCTTTCATCTTTTCTGGACAATACAAGCAGATCGGCCAGGTAGAGTGGTTTATTCCTGAAATAGTGATCTGCCTCCTTCCTATCTGATCTACTTTTCAGGGTTGCCGTGGTTGAACTGCAAATATTTTCCGGAACTTTTGTCACCGCCATGTAGAGATGCTGGCTCCATGGCGAATTTCACACTGGCAGCTCACACAAAACTCAGTGCTGTACGGGAAGAGAGTTCTATGATGCAGTTCATGAGGTAACAGCCGTTTCATGGACTCGTGGAAGATAATATTGCTAGTTCTATCATCGGTTCGCCACTCGAATTAACTGTAATATGATTTAAGCTCACTGGAAAGACCTTCGGCATCGATCGCCGACTTTGGAGAATTCCAGTACTATATTCTGGCCGCGCAAGGTCTAGTCTGGATAATTGTGTTCTGTGGTATCTGCTTTGGTGTCAGATGGCTTGGAAAGGTTAGTCGTGGCACGGATTTGAACGTCAGTGCATTGAGAGTTGGCCTACGTTGTTTCTGAATCCGGAACTTCCCAGCCAAAGACTTTCTGCATTATTGATTGTTTATTTCAAAGGTTTGGCTTAGATTTAGAATAACTACTGAGCGAACTGTTTCAGGTGATCCCGTTTTTGTTCATGGCGGCGTTCAGTATGCTGCTGGCGCTTCTGATTCGAGCGAGCACTATGGACGGTTTGCTGAATATCTTCAACATATACGTCAATTCGACAGACTGGAGCAAACTAGCGGATTACAACGTAAGTTGCGCTTAAAGGAACGCGTAACGCCGTATTTTCTGCAGGGTGTTCAATTGCATTTCTGAGAAGTTGATTTTTCTTGTTCTACACAGATCAAAAACGTCACTTTTTTGTGCAAGTTTCTTTCCCATTTTTATTTATTTTTTATTGAAGTTTTTTCATAATAAATTGCGCTATTTCAATTTTCTAACGAGATGGGAGACTTTGTATGGTTTGAGTTTAGATGTCTTTTTTTAATTTTTTTATATTTATCTTTTGCCTTTTTTGAGTTGTTTAGGGAAGGCTTATCCTGCTGGTAATTTAACCACGAGAGAGGAGTCGTATTTGTGATTCGAAAAGGGGTTGTGGTTGGGGGCTCTCTGAAGGGTTCGTGTCGTATGAAGGTGTTGAAGAAAGACGTTTTCGTTGAGGAGAGACCCGAAACAATAAATGATACATTGATGAAAACCTGTAGAAGTTGCCTTCCCGCCTTCTAGGCGCTATCGGGATTGGAGGTTTTGATGTTTCCGGGTGTCTCAAGCTATAACAGGTTCAACGACTCTCTATCGACTGTTGGGGAGGGGAAGAGGTTGTGTATGGACCCCTTCGAAGAGATCGTTTAAGATCCTCTTCAACGTGACCAGTTTCTCGAACTAAGTGCAGCAAGGAACAGAGGTGTTGATAAGAGTTGGGGACCGTATCGCACAGTGTAGTGGCTGCGCTACTCATGTGTTTTCAGGATTGTCGAAAATTTCAGATTTCTTGTGGTTCTCATATGGGGCAAAAGGGACTCATAAACTTAGAAATTAGACATTTATCCCCAAAATTAGACATCCATTTGTACAGCATAGGAAAAGATCCTCTGATGTGGTACCGTGTGCACGGAAAGGGATTCACCAGCGCCCTGTAACGCTCTCATTTGTTGAAATTTTCAAAAATTTCTGTCACAGGCTTTCGCATACACCAATGTGAAGTATTGTTTTCAGCTGTGGAAAATCGTGTGTGAGCAAGCGATCCTGGCTACTGGAATTGGTTTTGGAGCTTTTATCACAATGGGATCGTATAATCGGAGATCAAACAATCTCGTTGGGTGGGTTATCGAAAAAAAAAACTTTTGAATTTTTTTTCAATGTTCCTTTCTCGTTTTGCTCTCCTTATTGGTGTGATGGTTTTTCACAAGCCGCATTCATTTACCTACTTTTCATTCTTGTTTTGTACGGGATTTGTGGAACTTCGATAGACGTAATAACTTCGACAGAAAAATTCATCCCCTTCTCTGATCCATTTGAATCGGGCCATTCGATGTTGTGGTGTTCCGTTCGTAAACCGAAGATCTTTCAGCGATTCTATCCTAATTGTTCTTGGACACGCGTTCTTGACGATAATGCAGGTGATTACTGTGGTCGGATTGGTCGGATTCGTGGTCTCAAAGACGGGCTTAGCGCCTTTTGATGTATGGACAAAGTCAGAAGTTAGCCTTGCTCTAAAAAAAACCACTCGTAGACCATTGATCGTAATAATTTTGTCCACGTCCGGACAAGCAGGAGGTTATATACAATCAGTAAACACAAAGACATCTAACGAGTCAGCGCTGGAAGATTACTCCGATAGAGCCTAACAAGGGAGGTCGTTCAGGGTGTGCCAAGCTTTTTCAAAATGGTTTCTTGCATGACATTGGGGCACATATGGGGACCACAGAAGCATGGTTCATTTTTCCTGAACGGCCCTCTGAATACCAGAAAAGGGGTCCTAGTTCGATTCCTCGTGGTGACAAATTTTTGCATTTCGAGTTGACGTTTCCAAATTCGCGCAAAATGGAGTTAGCATGAATAATTAGTACCATATTCATGATTAGGACCGTCAGTAACCCTTACAAAATAGACCATGTACTTCGCCTTACAAATGAGACTTTGATTGAAAAACTGGTGAAAAAGGTGTGACTAGGGACCCCCTTTTCTGGTATTCAGAGAGGCCGTTCAGGAAAAATTAATCCATGGTTCTGTGGTTCCCGCATGTGCCTCTATATCATGCAAAAGACCGTTTTGAAAAAGCTTGGCATCCACGTGTAGCCGAACGACCTCCCTTCGTAGGTCTCTAGCGCTTGAATCGTCTCTAGCTATTTCCCATTGAAATTCTTTTATGCTATGAATTACGCGTCGAGAGTACGAAGATTTTCTTTCAGGCGAGGCACAAATGTGGCATGTTCTTGCCTATTTCTCCTACCTGCCAAATGTGAAGTTGTGGAGCGGACTGTTGCTGTTTGCCTCCATATGTATTCTACTTAATATATTTGTAAGTTTTCTTTGAGCTCATAATCGTACTTCCTTGGGTGAACTTCCTTGGGTGAATGGTGGTGCAGGAGCAAATTCCTTCAGATGGCAACTTCTATCTGAATCGAATTCTCAGATCACCACTTCCTTTTTCACACCGGTGTCGATTAATCTAATGGGTTGCCTGAAAGGGCAGAAGAAGCGATTCGGAGTCGGTTGGCCCTTGCACTCCACTGTGAAAACTGACTCAGGACCTTCGCGCTCATACTTCCCTTATTGTTGTGGTTTTATCCAAAAAAAAACTGGAAGGGGGCGTAATGGCAACGCTTGCCACTTCAAGGATCAAATCCTGGGGCGGATCTTGCCCATACCACCCAGCTACCATTTGCACAAGGGGTCGGGTTTATGCGATCAAGCTGTTTTGGAGGATATAAAACGCTGAGCATCGGCTGGCCTTAGCTAGCTGTTGTTCACGTAGACATTGACCTGCCACTGTGACTTCAGTCAGATATAGAATGCATGGCGCAATCCAGAAAGGAACCGATCAATGGCGAGCGCTTTAACGTTGAATCCTTCCTTCCAACCAACACAGAATTGAATACAATCAAGATTTCTGTCCATTTTCGTGATCTACTTTTTCTCGCAGTCCTTCCTCCCTTCGTTTATTTGTGGTTACTGTGCTGGACACCATGCTCACTGAATCCTACCCATTTCGCTATCATCTGTTGAACCTTGTGAGTAGGGTAGGGTCAGGTTCCATCGTGACTACCTTTCACGTTAACCTGCGTTTCCATAAGTTGCTGCACAGAACTTGCGGCTGGGCTGGAAACCGTACAAACTTTCAAACGTCGAGGATAGATTCGTCAAGAGAGTTCTCGCATACTACTTGGGCTTGCAGTTGGCTTAGCAAACACCTAATCTGCGCCGGATGTATCGGGTGATGTCTGCTCCTGCACAGCCTGACGTCCAAGCGCGGAGCATATTGCCTCAGATTTTATATTTGGCTCCTGTTAGTGTATTCCAATAGGTTCTACCCACCGGCTCCGAGTCGTAGTGTTACCAATACAGCGGTTGCTGCGGGATATCAAAGGAGTACAGTGGCTTTGGGGTAGTTTCATCCTGCTCACCACCATCGTTCTATTAAAATTCCGGTTCAAAGACTACTGATCGATCGGTGATCTCGACCAATTACAGTACCTCCTGTCGT